TCTCTCTCTCTCTCTCTCTCTCTCGGTATCTCGATCTCTCTCTCTCTCTCGGTATCTCGATCTCTCTCTCTCTGTATCTCGATCTCTCTCTCTCTGTATCTCGATCTCTCTCTCTCGGTATCTCGATCTCTCTCTCTCTCGGTATCTCTCTCGTTATCACATGACAATGGGAATTACAAAATTTAAATCCAGCAAATTACTCCAGTCAGCCAGCAGTGCTGGTAGATGCATGTCGGATAAGTTTAATTTGTACAGCATACATTTACCAGCATCCATTGATGCAAATAACCTGAGAATAGCAGAGCTGAAAAAAACACGTCCACTCTTAAGACGCTAGCAAAATCTGAGGCATGATGGTTGAGGGCAGGGTTACCCTGTGCTGGCTAACATAATCTTTTTTGCCAGTGTCCATTTCCCCTGTAAGCGGTAGTATAACCTCAACCGTCTAGAATTCGAGTTCCTATATAATGGACTATACACACTGGCGGAACTTCCAGGGTCGCAGCGATCGCAATTGCGACCGTGCCCTGGCGTTCGGCCACTTGGGGGGGGCCCAGCAAGGAAGAAGAGGGCCCCCCCTCCAGAGAGTTGCCGCTACATCCCTGCACAGCCCCCCGTAGCATGTACGGGCAGCTGTGCGGCAGGGATGCATTGCCGTCCGCACGCACTCAGACCGGCACAGTTCCTTGCGGCCTCGGCTGCAAGGAACTGTGCGCGTCTGAGTTGCTTCTCTCTTATCTGCCTCTTAGCTCCAGGGTCTCAGAGAGAGCAGAGTGATCTCTCTGAGACTTCAGAGCGATGAGTCATTCGGAGGCGTGGCGTGCTGCGTGTAGGAGTCCCGGCCGGGCTGAGCAGCCTGCAGGTAAGATAGTGTGCAGTGTTCGTTCTCCCTCCCCCCTCCCTTTCCTCATACAGAAATATACTTTACCAGCATCTTCATAACTATGTGAGAAAAATGTATTAAATGGAACATAACTTTTTAAAGTATTAGTTATAGTGGTACACAAGGTCACATTCTGTTTTGCCCTTTTTCTATAACAATAGTATGCACATTTTTCCTTTATATTATACTGAGGCCATGCCATTTTCAATTTCAGCTTTTACAAGAGCGTGGGGTCAATTTCTGCATGAAGACAGAAGCCAGAGAGATACGTGGCGAGAATGGACAGGTCTGTCTCTTTATTTTTGTCTAAATGAATGTTTATTAAGCCATCAGTTTAGGAGACATTTGATTATTGCTTAGTTCACGTCTATTTTGTAATAGCTTTGCTAGTTTAGAATGGAATGCATACTGAATTTAGTTTATGTTCCCCCTGCTCAAATATTGCCACTGGCAAATAAAAAGCCAGAGATGGATCAATGATGATTCATTGCTGTTAATGTGATGTTAGCTATTATCTACTGATTATGTATGCAGGAGAGAACAGAATAGTTACAAGTGTGCACAGAATGCCACTTGATTTTTGAAATCCTGGAGCTCAATGTAAGTGAATATTTCTGAAGTGGTTTCATTGTTGGTAATCTTATAATTACTTTTTTTTTTAAGATAAATAGATAACGAAGGAGAGAGATCACACCCATC